TCTTCTCCTGCCTTTTCTGTACTTCCTTCATGTTGCTATTCAAATAAGACCCCCCTTGCAACAGTGGGGAGCAGATCTAAAACGTCATCTTCCCCCAGTCTCTCTCTAGCTGCCTGCTTGATTTTTCATCACAGCACTTGTCGCTACCTGACATTGTATGTTTCTATTCACCGCTATATCCCCAAAGCTAGAATTGTGCTGGGCTAGTGGAGGGTGCTCTGCAAATATTTGTCAAGCAGGTAAATAAATGAAAGAATGAACAAATGGAAAGGGCAATGTGGCTGCAATGTGGGACACAGGGCAAGATGGTAGGGGGTGAGGCTGTGGGGGTTGGATGGTGCAGGACGTTTTGGGGCCAGGTGTAAGGCAGGGTGTCATAAGGGGAACAGGTGTGGGGCACAGTCTTATTGGGGTGATAGGTGTGGTCAGGGCCTCGTCGGGTTGGGTGGGGCGTTTGGATGATAGTTTAAGAACAAGATGGGGTGCGGTGGCTCATGCCTGTAATCCCAGCACTTTGGGAGGCTGAGGCAGGTGGATCACCTGAAGTCAGGAGTTCAAGACCAGCCTGGGCAACATGGCAAAACCCTGTCTCTACTAAAATACAAAAGTTAGCTGGGCATGGTGGCATTCACCTATAATCCCAGCTAGTCAGGAGGCTGAGGCAGAATAATTGCTTGAGCCTGGGAGGTTGCACTGAACCAAGATTGTACCCCTGCACTCCAGCCTGGGTGATAAGACTCCGTCTCAAAAAAAAAAAAATAATAATAATAATAATAATAAAAAAAGGGCCGGGCGCAGTGGCTCATGCCTGTAATCCCAGCACTTTAGGAGGCTGAGGCAGGCGGATTACCTGAGGTCAGGGGTTCGAGACCAACCTGGCCATCGTGGTGAAACCCCATCTCTACTAAAAATAAAAAATTAGCTAGGCATGGTGGCACACGCCTGTAGTCCCAGCTACTCGGGAGGCTGAGGCAGGGGAATCCCTGAAACCCTGGAGGCAGAGATTGGGCTACAGAGCAAGACTTGGTCTCAAAAATAATAATAATAATCATAGTAATAATAAAAAGAACAAGGCGCCATGTCTTATACCGGTAATCCAAGCACTTTGGCCGAGGCAGGAGGATCACTTGAGCCCAGCAGTTCGAGACCAGCCTGGGGAACATAGCCATATCCTGGTCTTTCTAAGAAATAAAATTAGTCAGGTGTAGTGGCTCGCACCTGTAGTTCCAGCTACTCAGGAGGCTGACGTGGGAGGATCACTTGAGGAGTTCAAGGCTGCAGTGACTTATGATTGCACCACTGCATTCCAGCCTGGTTAACAAAGCGAGACACTGTCTCTAAAAATAAAAATATGAACAAGCAGAGTCATTGCAGAATTTATTTATTTATTTTTAGTTTTAGTAGAGATGGAGTCTTGCTACATTACCTAGGCTGGTCTTGGACTCTTGGCTCAAGCATTCCTCCTGATTCGGCCTCCCAAAGTGCTGGGTTAACAGACATGAGCCACTGTGCCCGGCCCATTGCAGAATCTAAGCAGGGGAATACTGTGACCAGACTGTCATATGTTGGGATCTCTGGGGCTGCAGGCTGTATGTCCTGGGAGGCAGAGACCAGCTATTCAGTCAGAGATGGTGGCATGGGCGGGTGTGAGTGGCGGAGGCAGAAGGCAGTGACTCTGTTCCAGAGGTGTTTAGGGGTCAAAATCGGGGGGCTTGAGGATGGATGCAGTGAGGGGTGAGGGAGAGGCTGTGTACAGGACAACCCCCATGCTTCTGCCTGGGATGGTGCTGGATGGAAGATTGGATGTGGAGCAGTGTCAGGGAGAGGTGGAGGCTGCTGCTGCCACCATATTGGCCAGAGGTTCAAGGACTCGCTGACTCCTCCCATCAGTAAGCCCTCATTTCTTGAACTCCCTGGGATCCAGGGAGGAGTCACCCACCTGGGCCTGACCTCAGGCACCCCCAGCCATGGAGGGACCAGGGCTGCAGGCAGATAAAGCCCCTAGGCGGGGAGTGGTTCTGAATCCAGGGGTTGACTGTGGCAAGAGGCTTAGTCTCTGTGCCTCAGTTTCTTCATGTGTAGAATGGTAGAAATGGAGGTCCCTCTGCATTGGGTTGCTCTGGGGACCAAACAGGCTACTCTGAGGAAAACCCTGGGACAGTGGCTGCATGGGGTAAGTGCTGTGTGCATGCGAGTGTCTGACTGCGTGAGGTTTTATTGTGGTACCAGGGAAGAAGAGGTCTCTGCATCTGGGAGGGCCCCAGAGGAAGCAGCAACATTCCTGGGTTTCAGCGGAGGAAGATGGGACATGAGACACAGCAGATCCTGCTCTAAGCTGGCCCCGAGCAGTGCCAGAAACACATGACATGTCCAACTGGCCTTGCTTCTGAAATGTTTGTGGTTTAGCAGCACAGGCAGAGAAGAAACAGATATTTTCCAAATTGAGCGATGTGTTGAGATCAAGTGGTGTCCAGGGAGTGGGGGTCCATGAATGGCATCCCAGAGGAGCGAAGGCATGAGGGGCCCTGGAGGGATGGATAGGATCCAGCTCTACAGGGCGGACAGGCGCCTCACACAGAGCCAGAAAGAAGCTGGCACGAGAGAGATGGGTGGCGAGTGGCCCAGGAATGCGGTGGGGGAGCCATCGGCTGCCTGGAATGCCAGTCAGAGAGGCTGTACTCAGTCAAACCCAAGCAGGGTCTGTTGGGAACCTGCCGTCTGTGGGCTCTGGGCTGCCCCACTGAGCCAGACAGGCAAGGAACCTGTAATGGAGTGAAGACAGCCTATTACCAAGCATCTGAGCAAGGCCATCTCCAGTCGTGCTAAGAACAGGGTGATGGGGCCTGGCGTGGTGCTCATGCCTGTCATCCCAACACTTTGGGAGGCTGAGGTGGGCAGGTCACCTGAGGTCAGGAGTTCAAGACGAGCCTGACCAATTTGGTGAAACCCCGTCTCTACAAAATATACAAAAATTAGCTCGGCATGGTGGCATGCCCCTGTAATCCCAGCTACTCGGGAGGCTGAGGCAGGAGAATCACTTGAACCCAGGAGACGGAAGTTGCAGTGACCTGAGATTGCGCCTTTGCACTCCAGCCTGGGTGACAGAGCAAGACTCCATCTTAAAAAAAAAAAAAAAAAAAAAAAGGGCCTGGGGAATGTGAGAGGACCCTAGGGTAGGAGTGAGGTGGGGTCTGGAGGCTGCTTTGGTGAGGGCTGAAGGGGTGGGTGTGATGGGAGCCTGGAATGGGGAAGAAGAGCTTGGGGGAGAGCATGTGCAAAGGCCCTGAGGCGGGCATGAGCCTGCTGCGTTAAGGAAAGAACAGGCCATCGTGGCTGGAGCAGAGCTGGCAAGACAGAAGATATGAGGGGAGGCTGGCAGGGCAGCTGAGCCCCAGGTCGCCAGGGCCTCTTGGCCATGAGAGGGTTTTGTCTTAGGTGCTGGGGGAAGCCATGACAGGTTTTAAACAGGAGACTGTCCCCTTGGCTTATATGTGAGGAATGGATTGGGAGGTTATGAGTGGCGACAGGGGGCGCCGGGGAGGCAGCCAGTGCTGTAGTCAGGAGTGAGATACCAGTGGCCCAGGCCCAGGCAGTAGAGTTGTAGAGAAATGGACAGATCCAAGGAGTGTTTCAGGAGCAGAGCCGCTGTCCTTGCCCGGCCCAGCAAGAGGCAGGTGTCTGGCCTGAGGCAGGGCCCCAGGAGTGAGTGAGGAGAAGGCCAGTGTGGGAACAAAGGATGGGGGGCCCTTAGGCTTTCAGGAGGAAGTGGGATCTTGAGCGTCTGGCCCCAGGACCGGAGCCCACCTGAAAGGCCGTTGCTTCCTCCTCTCTGAAATGAGGATGTGGCCACCAAGCAGGGCCTTGCTGGGACAGACCCCCAGTGGGTGCTTAAAATAATTAGAGTCCTATATTAGTTGTGATGATTCCCACAACGACTAACGTATTAGTCATAAAAGTGGCAAGTGTACGAGAAAGGGGAGAGAAATTCCCTATGCTCAACACCCAGGGATTCCCAGAGAGATTCTCCAAATCCACATTCTGGGCCCCTGCCACACCGCCGCCTCTGGATGATGCTTCAGGGCTGTGCTGTCTCACTCTGCTCCTTGGTTATATCGAGGCTGGTGCCATCTCTCCCGTACCTGGCTTTAGCTGTTTAGCCTGGGCCATCTCCCTCTCTGCTTGGGGTCATCTTTGGGGTCTGTGTCCTTTCTCCCCAACCCTGGATTTCACGGTGGGCCTGTCTGCTCTCTCTTTGACCATGGGTTTTGTTTTTAGCCTGTGCCACCTCTCTCTACCTCGTGGTTATCTTTTGTGCCTGTGCCATCTCTCACCGACCTTGGGTTTGTATCTGGGTCCTGTGCCATCTATTTCTGACTCCAGGTGAAGTTTTGGGCCTGGGCCACCTCTCCTTCATCCAGGGTTGTGCTTTGGTACTGGTGTCATCTCCTGACCAGGATGCTGTTTGGGGCTTGTGCCCTATCTCCCTGACTATACACTGGGCCGGGGCCTGGGTTATGTCTCCACTGGCTGTGGACACATGCTGACCTGCACCCTTCCTCCCTACCCAGGGTCATTTCTGGGCCCTGCATCCTCTCTCCCTGCTCTGTGTTCTGTCTGGGCCTGTATTATCTCGAGTTCTGCCAGTCTCAGCCCCTTCAGGACCTTGGCTCTTTTATGGCCCTAGGGAGAAGTTGCTGCTTGAATTGGAGTTTGGGGAGAGCCCCCATCCCCAGCCCTTGATGCTGGGGCACAGTTGAGGCCTAGGGGACGGAGTCAGTGTGCCTGGAGACGTGAGATGATGAGGATGGATATGTGATGAGAGTCCGATTTCAGGCCCAAGGTGGACTCCTGCAGTCAGTCCAGGCTCCTGGCCCATTCTGCTCCCTACCTCTCTCTCTTACCTCCCTCAGTTGCTCACTCTCCATGCATTTCTCTCTAACTGTCCACTTCTGTCTTCCCCTCTGCCCCTCTCCGCCCCCGCCTGGCTTCCCCTCCAGCAGAAGGCAGACCTGGCTGTGGCCGCCTTCACCATCACAGCTGAGCGGGAGAAGGTCATCGACTTTTCCAAGCCCTTCATGACCCTGGGGATCAGCATCCTCTACCGAGTGCACATGGTATGGTTCCCCTGGAGACCATGGGCTGCTTGCCTGGCATGGAGGCTCGGAGGCTGCGAGTGGGAGCCAGACTTCCCCAGGACCTCAGATGGGCCGGTCAGGCTCCCAAGTCCCTGGTGGGGCAGGGGCTGGGTGTGAGGCTCAGGCCAGGGGTGGCTCTGGGTCTCACTCCCTCTCCCCACAGGGCCGCAAACCTGGCTACTTCTCCTTCTTGGACCCCTTCTCCCCTGCCGTGTGGCTCTTCATGCTTCTTGCCTACTTGGCTGTCAGCTGTGTCCTGTTTCTGGCTGCCAGGTGAGTCCACTGCCTACTGGGAAGGAAGGGGCTGGAGGAGGCACGAGCCGGGGCCTCTGGGACTGACCTGCCCCTTCTCTCTTGGAACTGTCCTTGGCCTCCCCTTTGGGGCCTTGGATTCCCTGCACCCTCCTTTCTCAATTTTGTACCCTGTGTCTGAGTCTCATTCTTCCCCTTGTGGCTCTGACTGCTCTGTGATTCTGTGTTTGGGTCTCTCCCCTTCCCTCCTCTCCCTTTTTTACCGCATCCTTTCTCTATTTCTCTCTGTGCATCTCTGTGTCTGTCTCTGCCTCTTCTGTCTCCATCTCTGTGCATCTCTCTCTGCCTCTTCTCTGTGTGTCTCTGTCCATCTCACTCCTTTTTCCATCTCTCCCCTTTTTCTTCTGATCACTGTGACTTCATCTTTTTCCTTTGCTTCTCTCCTTTTCCTCCCCACCTGGGCCCTGGGCTCCATCCACCCGCTGCACATCTCTCCACAGGCTGAGCCCCTACGAGTGGTATAACCCGCACCCATGCCTGCGCGCACGCCCCCACATCCTGGAGAACCAGTACACGCTGGGCAACAGCCTGTGGTTTCCCGTGGGGGGCTTCATGCAGCAGGGCTCGGAGATCATGCCCCGGGCGCTGTCCACGCGCTGTGTCAGCGGAGTCTGGTGAGAAGCTTTCTATCTGCCTCTGCCCAGGGTAGGGGAGGGACCCATCTGAGGCCTGGGTGGGATTGGGGCTGTGGCATCTCCTGGCAGATTTGATTCCCCGTTTCCCCCTGCAGAGCTGAAAGACGAGGAATGGGGTGGGGAGAGCTGAGCTCCAGCCCTGCCGCTCACTGGCTGTGTGAGTTTGGCTAGGTCGCACCCCTCCCCTTGCCTCAGTGGCCTTCCCTGAAAGATGGGGAGAAAGATGCCCACGTCTCAGGGTTGTGAGGATTCAGTGAGGCTGCTATGGAAGAGTGCTCTGTGAGCCCTACAGCCTTGTGTGGGCAGGAGGGGTACAATTGTAACACGATCAGTGTCACTGTCTTGGACGTTGCCCTGGTCATCACAGGGACATAGAATCTCCAAGCCAAGACAGCCGTCACTGCCTAGATGTTTTCTCAAAGTCCCACAGGGACCCAGTATCTCAGACAGAACTTCTTTGCCCCCGTCCCAAGCCCCAAGAAACTACATGTCAGACGGCAAACACCCACAGCTTGTGGTGTCTGGCCCACAGGTTTGATATTGTTGTTGCTGTTGTTATTTTGAGAGAGTCTCCCTCTGTCACCCAGGCTGGAGTGTGGTGGCACAATCTCGGCTCACTGCAGCCTCCACCTCCCAGGTTCAAGTGATTCTTTTTTTTTTTTTGAGACAGAGCCTCGCTTTGTTGCCAGGCTGGAGTGCAGTGGCGTGATCTTGGCTCACTGCAACCTCTACCTCCCGGGTTCAAGAGATTTCCCTGCCTCAGCCTCCTGAGTAGCTGGGACTATAGGCATGCACTACCACACTCGACTAGCTTTTTGTATTTTAGTAGAGACGGGTTTCACCATGTTGGCCAGGATGGTCTCGAACTCCTGACCTCGTGATCCACCTGCCTTGGCCTCCCAAAGTGTTGGAATTACAGGCGTGAGCCACCGCGCCTGGCACACCTGGCTAATTTTTGTATTTTTAGTAGAGACAGGGTTTCACCGTGTTGGCCAGGCTGGTCTTGAACTCCTGACATCAAGCGATCTGCCTGCCTCAGCCTCCCAAAGTGCTGGGATCACAGGTGTGAGCTACCGTGCCCAGCCTTGGCTCACAGTTTTAAGAAACTGGGAATTGAATGCCAACACTTGGAGCACATTCACTCACAAATTTAGATTTCTTGCTTTCCTTGAAAATCTGGGAGATCTGGCAGCGCTTGGCTGGCATTCCTGCCTGGTGTCACCGTCTGCTCCCATCCACCCCCGTTCCCACTGCCCACTGCAGTCGCCTGCTGGCCTGGCCTCCGTAAGCATCCACGTTTGCTACCCTGGGCTTTAAATAGCAGCTGGACTTGGTTGCTGTTCCTGCAATTCTTCTCACCTCCTGTTCCTCACAAGAACCACGGAGAGCCGAGGAGAATGCTTGGAACAGGGAATATGCTCCCTGTTTATGGATTAGGAGACTGATACCCAGAGAGAAGGAATAGCTTGCTAAAGACTGTGTAGTCAGCTAGAGGCAGGGCCAGGCTGGGGCCAGGACCAGGCTCCTTCCCCCATGCCAGTGCGCCCTCAGCACTGTCCAAGCTCAGCCTAGCCCTCAAGGCCCTTGGGAGCCTCTCCAGGGCAACCCCAGGTATCTGGCCTTCTTGAGGAACACTTCTTCCTCACCTCCCCACCACAGAATTCATTCACCCATGGTCATTCTTTTACAGGAAAAGGGTCTCGATCCAGACCCCAAGAGAGGGGTCTTGGATCTCTCACAAGGAAAAATTCAGGGCGAGTCCATAAAGTGAAAGCATGTTTATTAAGAAAGTAAAGGAATAAAACAATGGCTACTCCAATTGCTTGAACTCAGGAGGCGGAGGCTGTAGTGAGCTGAGATCTCGCCACTGCACTCCAGCCTGGGTGACCAAGCAAGACTCTGTCTCAAAAAATATATAAATAAATAAATAAATAAATAAAAGAATGACTACTCCATACACAGAGCAGCCCCAAGGGCTGCTGGTTGCCCATTTTCATGGTTATTTCTTGATGACATGCTAAACAAGGGGTGGATTATTCATGCCTCCCCCTTTTAGACCATATAGCGTAACTTCCTGACGTTGCCATGGCATTTGTAAACTGTCATGGCTCCAGTGGGAGTGTAGCAGTGAGGACGACCAGAGGTCACTCTCGTGGCCATCTTAGTTTTGGTGGGTTTTAGCTGGCTTCTTTACTGCAACCCCTTTTATCAGCAAGGTCTTTATGACCTGTATCTTGTGCCAACCTCCTGTCTCATCCTGTGACTTAGAATACCTTAACCGTCTGGGAATGTAGCCCAGTAGGTTTCAGCCTCATTTTACTTAGTTCCTATTCAAGATGGAGTTGCTCTGGTTCACATGCCTCTAACAATTTCACAGATGCCTATTGAGCCTGTCCATGTGCCACGCACTCAGGTGAGGAATCAGCCCCATCCCTGCCCTGGAGAGGCAGAGGAGCTGATAATAAACTAGTAAACAGATAAATCGACACTGGACATTCTATTTTATTCAAAGAATAGGTCCCAAAGATATTATCTAATTTGTGTCTTTTTCAATTCAAGACTAACCTTAATAGGTGGCAGTTTTTTCCCTTCTCCTAAGTGGAACTAACTGCGGTATGGCAGGCATTAGCAATTCACTTGGCTTGGACACTTGCAAGTCTTGATGGTTTTTTTAAACGGTTTTGGATGGGCATCATTTCCGATGATACCCCTGTATAGGATTGCTTGAGCCCAGGATGTTGAGGCTACAGTGAGCTGTGATCGCGCCATGGCACTCCAGCCTGGATGACAGAGCGAGACCGTCTCAAAAAAAAAAAAAAAA